AATTTTATTACTATTTTTAATCCTCGCCCAAGGGCTCCAACTAAGACACACCAGCAAGGGCTAATACGGAATTTTTTAAATTAGCTTTTAAGGTCTTGAAAGAACTATGTGCCCTTTTTTAGGCCTATTGCCATCAAAAGTTTCAATCAATTCATATAATTAACTAGTCTGCTTTACTGTGAAGTCATATGTAAATAGAGCCACGTGCAAATCCCTGGCTGGCGTAGCTCAGTGGATTGAGTGCAGGCTGCGAACTAAAGTGTCTCTGGTTCGAGTCCCAGTCAGGGCACATGCCTAGGTTGCAGGCCAAGTCCCCAATTGGGGGCACACGAGAGGCAATCACACAATGATGTTTCTCTTCTTCCCTTCCTCTCTCTCTAAATATAAATCTTTAAAAAACAGTGCCACATGCAAAACAGAGAAAAACAGACATCTCAGTAACTCAAGACGAAGTGTGATACCCTGAGTTTACGAGCCTTCTCCATCTCAAGACACGTAGCACCGGGCAGCACCATTGGAGATGTTATCTGCTCTCTTCATGGTAACTAGAGTTTAATGTGCTCTAAGTGGTACTGTGCTGTTCAAAGTTTTGTATTCATATCCACACTGACCTCAGTACAGCATTTCATCTTTTACTGATTATATTAATGTCTGTCACGTTCAAATGAAATCCAATTCCTCAGACCTTGACTACAACACACACACAAATTGGGACGGGTGAAAACAAAATCAAACGGACAAGTCTTCTACTTCATCATTTCCCTCCACTGTGGCATCCTTAGAATTTCGGTATCACAGAGAAAAACCCTTGCTTTATTGCTGAGAAAAGGTTTCTAATTAAATAAAAAGAAATAGAAAACATTTGATAGATTTTACTGTAGATGGACTGTACCTAGAAAGAACACTTCTTAGCTACAGCTATGAAGTGCCTGATAAACACGGACATTTACAAAGACATATAACGAGCTGTAATATTAATTTACACTCACTGTCTTTTAAATTTTCAAATAAGGGTGAATTCATACTCTGCCTTCAACAGACAAGAATCAATGGCAACCCTTTACAATTCTCTATTTCCTTAATAAATTAAACATGACAAAAAAGTTAAAAAATGCCTAATTTAGAATAACAATTTCCAAGTTACTTTAACATTGTAAATTTTATGTTTTATTACTATAAACACATTTTTATTATTGAAATTTTAGATACATGATTATTTTTTTAACTTAAATTATAAGTTACAAAAGGACTGACCTTGGATTAAACTTTTCTGTTGGTTAACTCTTACTTATTTGTATTGTATCATGTTTTTCCATTACCCATTATTTCCCCTGTACCCTCTCCCAACCTCCATAACCCCGTACCCCTACAATCGCCACACTGTTGTCTGTATCTGTGAGTTCTTTCTCGTTAATCTCTCTTTTTTGCTCGATCAATCTTTGGCTATTGTCAATGAGTATTTTAAATCCAACTGATATTCTATTTCATATCAATGGACCCAAAAAGTAAAGACTTGATGACATAATTTTATTTGAAATTTAACTTAAAATCAAGTTTAATGGTAGAGAGTTGTACACCATTTAGGCTATATCTAAACTTACTTTCATAAGTAATACTTTATATTTTATCCCCTAGATTGAGGTTTAGTGTTCTCCTTTTATTTGAAACTTCTAAGGTTAAACAATAATTACATTCCTCCATTTTTTAAAAGAAGAAAAGTTACCTGTTTTTCACGGGTATTAAGGATAATTCAATACATGTAACTGAAAGCAGAACACTGTATTAGGTTCTCAGGGTGATTCAAACACGACAAAAACTCTGATCTTGTTGTTAGAGTATATAATACATTAGCAGGGAGAGGAAATAAGATAGGTAACACAGGTTAGAAGATGTGAAAGTCTAAAAATAAGTGTTTCAGAAGTTTGCAGGAAGTAAAAAATACTTTAATTTGGAATGCCTAGAACAATACAAGGAAAGTTGTAAGTCTGATTTTAAAGGGTAGGGTAGAATTTGGACATTTCAAGATCAAAGGCAAAAATATTTCAAGACAAAGCAAAGTATGAGCAGAGGGTCAGAAGTGGAACGTTTGTCATCTATATGAAAAATAGTTCAGGTTCTAAAATAAAACATGTAATTAAATATTACACTTTACAACCCTAGTCATAACTTTGTGTCAAAAAAATTAAGTGCTAAGTTTCATTATTTGAGATGTATAACCTGAGCGTATTTTGAACTGCCATTCCTGAAACAGATGAATTCTCCATCTAAAGTGCATGTTTAACTGAAACTTATACTCACTACTCTGATCTGCTGATAATTGTCTCTTAACTTAGCTCCGTTATTCTCCAGGAAGTATAGCTGGGATAATTTACTGAAGAGGAAACAATTACAGACCGAAGTGAAACAAACTGCCAGCACAAACGCACTAAGACAGAAGGAAGAGTGCTAACATGGGAACAATGGAGAGGACGGTCAGGACGGAGGAACTGAGTAGGTGGTGAGGACAGCTAGTCTTTGCCATTCATTTCAGGTCACTCGTTCTTGGAATCTAACCAAGTTGCTAGGGGAATAAATTAGGTCACTGCTTTCAGTTGTTTGTTAGATTCTTAATGCAATACAATATAATATGTATTATGACTAAAAATATGGGCAATGCATTACAGAGTCCATTTAGGAACTAAAATTATAAATTTTATATTCCAAAGATTGGAAACTATAACTTTTCTTTCCTTTTTAAAATTAGTTTTTCCATCACCATTTATCCCCCTTATATCCTCCTCCACCTTCACCCCTGACCTCCTGCAAGAAAACTCCTTTTGGTTAAGACGAAAAAATAACGTCTGCAGTTTAAGGGTACTACCGTAAAATGTCCTGTAATGGAATACACATGTAGATGTTGGTGCTATTTCTGGGCTATTTTGTTTTGAGGTCCGCAGTATTTTGTGACAAGACAACAAATTCTTACAGCAGGCCCATTATTAGGCTGTTAAAGTTCATGAGAAAACGATAGTTCTCTTAAAGAGTGGATTTTCACTCAAAAAATTATAAAACCATGGTATATTCTCACATTTTCATAGCTGTTTACTCAGTGTATGCCCCCAAAATAATAATAATAAAATTTCTAGCTGAGTGATTAAAAAAATTATCTCATTTATTATAAAAGAACTCTAGATCAACCATTACCTAAAATCCAAGAGCTGGCTCACGATTTTACTTTTCATTCAAAAGTTGAAACAGCACAAATATCTATATTTAAAAAATGCTTTCCCACTTTTAAAAATAGCAAAATGTGTAAAATACGCTTGTTTATTTTTTAAGCACATCAGAAATAAAACCATATTATTTATACCTTTTTGGTAATGTTGCAAACATCAAATTTTTCTGTAGAAGCAATTTCTGACAAATTTGGTTTTACAGACTAAAAGAATAAAAGGTCAAGTTCCTAGGTTATTTTTTTTTAATCTCTGCTTTTAATGTTTAATTTTTTTTAATGTATTGATTTTTTAGAGAGAAAGGAAGGGAAAGAGAGAAACATCAATGTGTTTTTCCACTTATTAATGCCTTCACTGGTTGATTCTTCTATGTGTCCTGACCAGGGATCAAACCCACAACCTGGGCATATTGGGAAGATTCTCTAACCAACTGAGCAACCCAGCCACAGATGCTGGTAGATTATTCTTGATAACATATTTTCCCATAGTCTGACATCTAAATGGTCTACTATTATTAATATAATGGCTAATAGGAAAATCTTTTAATGATATTTTGACTGTACTATAGAAACAAGATTAGTATCATTACTAAAAAGACAATGGTGAAATAAGATTAAAAAAAATTATGTAGTAGAAATCTCAACTTTTCACTTATGTTTATCAATGTCTTCTATATAATTCTCATTTTATTCCTGACATGTTGTTTAACTGGGGTTTCATTTCATTTTTTTCTTTCTCAAAGTCCTATTAACTTGTTAATTTTGCCATACAATGCACATTATTTTCAAGTTAGAAACACGTGTTTAGCTTTCCTTATTAAATTTATGTCTTTTACCGAAACCATCAACATTCTCTTCTAATTGGCAACTTCTAATGTTCTTTTAGCAAATACTCATTAGTTATACTTCTCAGGCAATTTCATGCCATGTCACCTGTTTCCTTTTACTGTACGGCCACAGAAAGCTAAGAATACTCTCTGTCGAGACAACGATTACCCTTTGCTCTCCCATGGAGGGTCTCTTTTCAGCTTGGAAATGTTAAGATTCTAATGTTTACCAACAGATACGTTTATTTTAATGTAATACCCATATATTAATTTGGCTACAATAAAAAATGTGCTGCCCTAACTTGGAAATTTTAGCTTAAATTAAATGAAGAAGGCACATGAGTCTAGCACTAACTGCACCTTACACGTCGCACAAGCTGTAGGCTGCTGTTTCATGTACAAGCTGAGCTTGAAAAGATACAGAATATTTTAAAATTTAAATCGGAAACCCTGCTTAATTCTGAGTCAGTAAATTTGAATATGCCCAATTGTGACTATACTCATTGTTGTTATGAACTTTCGTTCTTATTCTAAACACTTCAGCATCGATAAGACACCAAGTGTAAATAAGACAATGTAAGTTACCCAAGAAGTCCTAGATCAAGTATAACCTTGAAATCCAGAAACATGGCTTGTTCAAAACTTGGGTGCAGGCAGGGTGTAGGTGGATGGTAACTGGGTAATTATATATCCCCATACCTATCATCTTACATTAGGGAAGAAAGAGCCTTAAGTCTCATGTACTGCTCTTACTAGTTCTGAATGCCTGTTTTCAATACTAAATGAAGTGACACATTAATACTAACCCTTAATTCTGTCTTAGATGTCCTAACTCTGCATTTGAAATAAACTGGCCCATTCACACCCCAAACACTGAAATCATGGAACGTACTGGTTATGTTTTCATTTGGGAAGACAAAGGGTAATTTTAGAAAGCAAAGTTAAAAATGAGAGTTTCATACCTTGTGCCAGCATGTTAAATTCCAAGAACAGTGCTATGTGGTACAGTTCCATGGCTTCTTCTGCCCTGGTCATGTTTGGTTTCCCTGCGACGAGAGCCTGAACTTCACTGAGACTCCCCACGGAAGGGCTACAGTGCAAAACGGAGAGGTCCACCACGTCGGTATACATACAGTGTAATATAACTTTTGCATATTTTTTTGGTATAATGGACTCATCTAATATAATTCTTGTGGGAGTCCTCAAAGTTCGGTCTGTGATTTCTTCACCAGTCCGTATCCTCCTTTGTAATAGATTTCGAAAAAATGGGGACCGTGCTGAAATGACAGCCTTGTGAGCTTTGAGCTCTTCATCCAAACAGTTCTGATTTCCACCAAAAGCTTCAACAAGTTCAGAGTCTGAAGAAAAACTAAGGACAACATCATAATAACACATGTAATCAAAAAGTCCACGCATATCTACATCAAGGGAATTTGGTGTTCCAAATTCTTCACTAAGCTGAACCAGGATATCGACATTTTGAAACCTCGAGTCCTCCATTCCAAACTCTCCAGTATACAGGTAGTGTAACAAAGCAGAAAACATAGGCATATCTATACCGGCCGTGTTGATGTCCATTATGATCTCTGCCCCATACTCGGGTGAGGAAGAAAGCAGTGTTTTAAAAAATGGACACCTTGCTGCCAGGATGGCACGATGAACAGGAAAACAAGTTTCTTGAAATATTAAGTCTACATCAGTACAATACTTATACTCATAAAGATCGGCCATATCTTTCTGCAATGTCCGAGCTTCTGGTCTAGCCAAACTGGCTTGTAGAGAAAGCTCCTTTAAGGCTGAAGTTCCCTCATATTCTTCTACTAATGCATTGACATCTCTCACATCCCACCCGGACAGGAGTTCTCGCATCTGCTTGGCATGATCAGCAGACCTATTAGATTTTCGGCGCTTAATAAACTTCTTTTTGAGGGTGGCAAGGCCAGAGGTTCTCTTTTTTTTGTCTTGTGGTTTCTCATGGCCGTGGTCAAGGCTATATAATTTTGATTCACAACCATAGCCTTGCTGAGAATAGGATGATGTCCCTAAGAAGGAAATCAAACAAATGAAAATATGTCTTTTTTTTAACATTCATTTTCAACATTCACTTTAACACATATTTCATGCTAAAAAATTTTATATAGACATTTCTGAACCATTTTTTAAAAACCCTGATTTTGCTTTTATAAAAATACAAGTTCAAATAACTCATTTTTATATTAAATAAGGAATAGGACAAACAGAGCAAATTTACATTTGTTGGGAAAAAATCCTGGATGCTACAGAATTGTTACCTATAATAACTTTTTCACAGCTCAATCCTCTTTTCATTCAAAAAGACCACTGAAAACACAATTCCATTTATATTCACTAAAGAAAATAAAGTAGAAAAAACTGAAACAGTTACCTATAAAAGTCTGTTGGGCTTGAGAATTTCCCCCTACCCTTGGGGAACATGAATGAGGATAGTTAGATGCATTAGCACCCATTTTCTTCAGTCACTCAGGCATTCCATCCGCTGCTTCTTCAGAGTGTAATCCCAGAGGCCTTTATGAGCTTTCAACCCTGGATCCAGCAGCCTCTTTTCATCCATTTCTTGACATGAAATAAAAATAATTTTATTCATATTTTCAAATGTATCCCAAATTGCACAGTAAAAAAACCAAGCTACTGAAAACTGCTTTTATTTGCAAATAATGACATGTTGTCAAATTCACATGTAAAAATTTCAGAAAATGTAAACAAACAGTTTAAACATCAATTATGAATCAGTGTTAGGTGCAATTTTGAGCCATCAAATATACGAAATATATACTTTCTGACAGTAAAAAGCAACGTATCAGACTAATGTAAATATATAGTTATAGAAAATAATTCAAATTACACGGGAAAGAATTACAAAAAAGTATTTAGACTAGAAAATTTTTTTGATTTTTTTAATCCTCAGAAGCAGCCACCATTTATTATAATCTAATATTCAAAGCAATTTTCAAACACTTAGGAGGCTGATACCAGTGTGTGTGTGTATATATATATATATATATATATATATATATATATATACACACACAAAAGCAGATTTAATTCAATGATAGGTTTATTGTTTTTCTACCTTAAATAAAATTAAATTGATTTATAATCTGTAAAATTGGGCATTTTACTGAAAGAGGGGGAGGAATGATGAGTGGCTGAAACTAGGCAGTCAGACCTCTGTACTCATTGGCTTTAGAACTCCTAGAACCCTGTACCGGTCACATTTAGACAAGAAAAAATGTTTTAGCACTTGGCGCTTGCTCAGGCCTTAGGACTCGTTGCACTTGCTAGAACTTGAACAAGGCACAACGCTGCCCTGCGAGGGAAAATGCCTCTCCGTTTCGTCCTCCTTGGTTCTGGCACTCGTCGTGAACTCTGGAATCACTGTATCTTTAGGTTACTTGTTTTATGGCCTTGAAGGAAGTTAAACACTGCTTTCTATTACTTGATATTTTGACTTAATATGGACAGAGAAGTACCAGTAAGAAATAATTTAACAATTATAGAGTAAATTCTACACTCTAAAACCCTAACTTTCAGAACTGCTAGCAGGAGGTCCACATATGCACAGAGTAGAAACTCTGAGGACAGCGTCAGTAGAAATACTTCTAAATGTCTACAGCATCTGGATATATAAAATTTATCGGACTAAAAAAGGTAACAGTATAAGAGAAGACACAATTTAAAATCTATCATTAAAATTGTTAGGAAACTAACAAGGAGGCAGTTAATCTAGCTTCATAAGGAAGGATGAAGTGCTTTAACAAATATAGTAAAAAACACAGAATCACAAAAAATCCTGCTGGAAACAGAACTGTGCCAAGGTCCTGGAACTTGGTTTCCAGTATTACTGATATAGCATAACCTTCGGAATTCAAGTTTAAGAAAATCAGTATTAACATTGTGCTTTCCTTCAATCCTTTTCTACCATGTATATGAAAATTTATTTATTTAAGCATAGACTTATCTACCTATAGTGTCCAAGAAAAGGCTAGGAAACTTTCCACTGATTAGATATTATGCAAAGCAGCAGTAACTTCCATCAAACTGCACACCCGTACAAGCGAATTTCCTAGTTGAAATGTGCTGCCCACCTAGGAAAAGAGAGCACACGCGACTTTTCACTTCAGTGCGTGCTACTGAAGTCAGAAAGGCTATGTGCCGTCAGAGACGTGACAGTGTGTTCTCTAAGAACTACCCAGCAAGTTCATTAATCTGGAAGTTTAACATACTATTTTGTAAATGTTAAATGGTCTAAGAAAATTACTTCTTCCAGCAAAATCAGTTTTCTTAAAGTGGGATGCTTAGTGTAAGTAAATTCAATCTTCTATTCTTAAATATTAGAAATATAGAAAAGGCTGCCTTCCTTTGTAATTCATTTTTATTGTCAAGTCTTGTAAAGAAGAAACTAAATCTGCATGGGTTAATTTCAGTTCAAACTTGTTAAAAAAGTTAGTCTAATAAATCTTTATTTTTCAAATTGAGCTCCTTAAAAGTTTCAAGGTTCTTTCAGGCACTTTTTGTGGTTCTTTTATAGAAATTAGGGTCCTGGGAAGCCTCTGTGGCCTCATTTACAGGTCAAATCCTATTTTCAGTCACTAAAGATTCGCATTTAAACCATAAAAATGGCAGAGATAATCCCTTCTCAGATTTGAAATATTTTAAAAATGATCCAGAATAAAAACATTATGGAAAACAAAAGTCTATACTGAGAATGAGAAAAAAAATATTTAAAAGATGAGCGTTGAGTCTGGAAGTAGCAGCAGACATGCGGAGCGCCGGTGGAGTGTCCCCAGGTCACTCCTGTGGCCGTCCTTTTCTTTTCGTCTTTCCTCATTCTTGAAGTTCCATACTACTTCCTTGTTTTCTTTGTAATTTCAACTGACTGCGGAAAAACTCACTAACACAGCACAAAGTATGCTGCGGACACAGAAGAAGGATGAATGGAGCCTTGCTTCCAGTTGAAGGAAAGTCAGTGATCAGGGCAGTAGACCGAGTTCTCACTCTCACTTCACTTCATCACATTACGTGGGCACACGCACACACACACACACACACACACACACGAGAATTATTTTCACCTGAGAATTCTGTAAGATTTGTAGGAACACAAAACACTTACATTGGTCCATTAGAGATTTAAATCTCATCAAAAATACCTTAAAAGAAAAAAAGAAAACTCAATTTTACCAGGAGCACAATTAGATAATCTAAAGCAGTCACAAGGGTTACAAAACATCATTAGTCCTACTGGAGACACAAGAAGAGAGAGCTAGCAAGGACTAGGGAAGTCACAGGCTGCGATAAGGATGCTTTGGCCATTTGCCACCATAATGAGCACCACAGGGACAGCCAGGGTCTTGACATGGAGGGGTGGCTTGAAATCAAAGTGTCTTTGGGACTTGGGCATAGAGTCTCTTCCTGGTAGTTTTGAGTCCATGGGAATCCCCTTCAAGATGGACTGATCTGGGTGACATTCACATCTCCCACTGGAGCTCTGATACCAAAAGAGAGGCAGGCCTTGGAAAGACTAGGTGGGAAGGACTTTTCTGGGTCAGATATAACCTTTAAGTGTACCCTGTGTGCCTAGTTCCAAATCCTAGGGGTAACCTTGACTGTGTAGTTCTAGTGCTAAAGCTGTATTTCTCAAAAATTTCAGGGAACAAATTCACTTATTTTTTAGGGAAACAAAATCCTATATTATGTTATTTATTTATTAATCTAATCTGCTGCCTTTACATGCTGAAAATGAGTTAATCATGGTCTAATCTCTCCAGGGATGTTTTCATTACAGGCAAGCTTTGCCTGTCTCCTAAGTGAAACAGTAAGAAATCCAATTTTTGGATGATAAGAAAGGAAAGAGAAAGAGGGCCTATGGGACTAGAAAAGGCCCACAGGATGCAATGGCCCTAGAAAGCTGGTAAATTATTTTTCTAGTTTCACCATTCTCAATCAGGTGATATACTGTAACTGGCTTAAAATAAGTGACTGTAGCAGACCTAAGTGGGGGGGGGGGGTATCATGTTGAATATGACAGAGAGAATTAACAACCCCATGACAAATTAAAAAAAAACAAACAAAAAAACACTCTCCCCTCAGAAAACCCTGGACCAGCATTTCCAGAGTCTTCCCTAAAATTTTGAAAAATGTAGGATTAAATACAGCCTAGTAGGTTTCTTTACTTCAGGACTGCTTAGCATCATCTTTTTCAAATCGTCACACTTCTAATTTTAAAATGTATCATAAAAATTTTAAAAAATACATGAGAGTAATAGTACACTGAGCTACCAAACCTCCATTACCCAGATTCCAGAATTATCAAAATTGTTTTGGCTTATATTTAAATGCTTAAATTTGATGTGTAAAACTTACAGCTAGCATTTAAATGTTTGTTATCAGCTTCTCATAGGAATAAAAATCTACAGAGACATATATACTGTGATTACAATACTGTGATTATCTAACACCCATCAGTTGAGTACTATGAGCCAGCTATTCCTCAGCCATTTACATGGATTAACTCCTTTAATTTTCTCCATAATGTGAGGAGTCGGTCTACTAGTATCTCCACTTTCCCAGCTAATTTTTTTAAAGGAAGTAATTTTTTAAACAATTTTATTTTTAAGAGAGAGACAGAGAGAGAGAAACATAAATTTGCTGTTCCATTTATTTATACATTCACTTGGTTGCTTCTTGTATGTGCCCTGCCCAGGGACTGAACCTGCAACCTTGGCATTTCAGGACAACACTCTAACCAATTGGGCTACCTGGCCAGGGTTTATCTGTATTTTACACAAGAGACTGGGAAGTTAGGAAAATGAGGCATGGAAGGCTTACTTTACTTAACCAAGGTCACAGAGCTGGTAAATTACAAAACCACTCTTGGCATTCGGGCTCTTATAAACAATGTTATCTTTGCAATTTTTTTCCTCCCTAAATGTTTGAGAAAAATTTCCGGAGCAGACAAATATAGTTCCATTCCAGAATTGGGAAGTTGAGTACACACCTAACAGTGTGACTTTTGTTACTTAAAAGGATCTTTCATGTTAAGCAAAAAATGACTTAACTGAAAGAATAGCTCATGAAATCAAAGCAAAAGTGCTTTCTGAATATTTATAGCTAGACTACATGTTCCTTGATGGCAGGATGACACTTTTTATGCTTGATCATCCACCCATTCACACACTCACTCATCCACCCAATTCTGAGCATCCACCATCTGCTAGGCAGTGAGGCCCTGGGAATACAGCAGTCAGTGACTCTGTCCTAAATGAGATCTCTTAGGAAATTTTTTTTTTTAAAGACTGCTGCTTTATTGTCCGAGTTTAGATCCAGATCTTCAAGAACAGGAGTGCACTGAGTAAAAATGAAAAGGTCATTTAAGGTATTAGATATACAGTGAATAAATAAATAGAACAACTCCCATTCTAGTCAACGCCCCACTCCCAGTTCTCATAACCCTATACCTCCATTACTTATTAATATTGCAGTACTAGTATGTACACACTGCACCGTTAACTTTCCTGAGGGTACTCAGTTTATTTATCTTAGATCCTTGCCATCCACCACAGAACACAAAGTAGACACACAATTATTTGAGTAACATAAATATTGATAAAAAATGTGTCTAAGGCCTAAGGAGTGCATATGTTTGAATGTATGGGGAGGAGGTGAGTCAAAAAACCTCAAATCCCTCACCAAGGCACTGGGCCTTTATTCAGAACACAACAGAGTGAACACATAATACACCATATGGATGATGTATTACAGAATTGTATACTTGAAACCTATATAATTTTATTAACCAATGTCACCCCAATAAATTCAATAAAAACTTAAAAAAAAAACCCAAACCAGAACACACGGAAGAACTACTGAATGAAAGCACAGAATACGAAAGAAGCACAATTATATTTGTGCTTCTGAAAGATTATTATTAAATGGCTTCAAGGCAGAAGATACTTGATGCAAGAAGACCTACTCAAGGATTTTTACCACAGTCTACAACGTGTTAATAAGGACCAGACTAGACTCTCCTTATCTCTAAAATGAGAGGGTGATTCTCATATCATCTACTTACGAGGTTGTTTTAATAGGTAAATAAGATAAATATAGACCAACACTGGAAAGCAGAAGTGGTTCATCACAAGAGAAAGGATGTCATGAGGAACCCAGTCTTGTGCCAGGTCCTACCTAGCCTGGATGAAATATATTAGAGATATACAAGTATTCTGAAAAACTCAGTTTCTAGACACTTAAAGCTGAGAACCAATTACTGGAAAGTAGTGGGTAAAGGACCTATCCAGCTACATTACAAACACACGCACAGACCTCTTACTCTGCCACTTTTACCACACAGCTCACTAAAAATGCTTCACCACACTTAAAACCTCAGAATCAGATCTTCCCACAGTGACAGGTAAGAAAAAATGGGATCAGAGAGGTGGAAAGGTGCAAAGCCTGACTCTCAGCCCCTGGGCCTTGCTAACCACCCCCCAGTCTAGGCCTCTGGCAGTGCTGAGACTGCTGGGAAAGCCTGGGCCAGCACCGGGATGAACACAGCAGCCAGAGCAGGAGCTGCCTGGCCCGGACTTCCCAGCCCTAAAGCAGTTGTTGTCTTCTCCTAGCAGCAGCCAGATCCCCCTAAAATCAAGATAGTGCTGAGAGGATCAAAACAATTTTCTCCAACAGCTAAGAAGAAAGGCCAATGAGAGGGTGGAAATGATTCTGAGGCCCTCCAAGGCAGACTGCAGAATCTGCCCAATCGACTGTCTTACAAGGGAATGGTGCCATGTGGTTCATGACAGAAGACTACTTTTAAGCCAGGTACACAGTATTTGAGTGAATAAATGAAATCATTGTTCTAACTGGGACAACTGTTTCTACTGTTGGCTTAGTGGTGTATAGAAAACTGACTTTGCGTGTTTTAGAGAAGGCAATGAGAAATCTGAGTCTAGATTTGCATTTACAGATGATTTGAAGAGAGAAAGCTAAAACCAGAGAATACATGGACAGAAATTGAACTTAAAAGAAAAAACGGAAATTTCTCATAAATTCATTCAAAACAAACAAAAAAATCACATTTTCTGACAAACATATTTAGCAAATGTTAAAACATACACAAGGGCAGCCCTGATAGGTGTGGCTCGGTTGGCTGGGAGCCATTCCCCAAAGCAAAAGGTCGTTGGTTTTATCCCTGGTCAGGGCACATGTCTGGGTTGGAATAGAGTGATTATTTTTTTAAAAAATACAAATTCTTCAAAAAATTGAACACAACACACAATCCAGCTATTCTAACTTTGGCTATATGCCCTTCCAAAAATAAAAACAAGGACTCAGACATCTGAACACACATGGTTACCGCAATGTTATTCACAATAGCCAAAAGGTGAAAACAAACTCAGCGTCCTCCAGCAGGTAAACTAATGAACAAAATGTGAAATATACAAGGGCGTATTTTTAGGCCTTAAAAAAGGAAGGAAATTCTGATACATGCTAAACATGGATAAGTCTTTAGGACATTATGTTAAGTGAAAAAAGCAAATGACAGAAAGATAAGTATCGACCCTGGCTGGTGTAGCTCAGTGGATTGAGTGCGGGCCTGCAGGCCAGTTCCCAGCAGGGGACGCACGAGAGGCAACCATACACTGATATTTCTCCCCCTTTCTCCTTCCCTTCCCCTCTAAAGATAAATAAATTTTTAAAAATCTTTTAAAAAAAGAAAAATAAATATCATACGTGTTTACTTATATGAGGTACCCAGCATAGTCAGAATCAGAGAAAGTAGTATGACAGTTGCTAGTGGGCGGACGGTTAGTATGTAATGGTCCTAGAGCTCCAGATGGGGAAGATAAAGGTCTGGGGATAGATGGTGGTGATGGTTGCACAATGAAATTAAAGCCATAGGACTATACACTCAAAACTGGTAAAAACGGTAAATTTTATGTCATGTTTTGAACTGTAACTTTAAAACCTCACTAAAACAGACAGAAAAGCAGACATGTCTTCCCTTTTTTATAGTCTTTAATGATTGTAGGGCAAGTATCTGATAAAGGGACATAAAGTTTACGTGCTTTTTCACACGCTGTCATTTTATTCTCACATTAAACCTTCAGTGTAAGCAGGACAGGCTTCATTCTCACATCTCTGAATGAGGTCG